GCTGCACTATTCATTTGATCATATACAGGAAAAGCATTGTTATCAAGCTGAGATCGGATTACCAACAAAAATACAATTGTGGGCTTGGTAAATTCACAAGAGCCTACTGAAGGTGATAATATGTGCAGATTGCTCTTTTAAAGCCCAAGGGGTATTTCATGCTTCAGCAGTATCCTTCCCACCCCTGGCACAGGGAATTATCCTCATCCCTTGCACCTTACCTGAATTCAGAACTCCTTACTAACAGAGAAAACCCACTTGCTAGATCTCTTCTATTTGAAAGCGTATTTTCTTCTCATATGGGAATCATTTTATATTTCTGTATAGTTATGCTTGCTGGCCATTGTGCCTTAGGACAGACCTTCTGGACCGATATTATTAGAACTGAAGACAATATTATCATTCCATAGTCATATATAGTCTGGCATGATGATGTTTTCTTTCATATTTTCTATTTCTTTCCTAACAATTCATAACATTCAATTTAGCTTTTTGATCATTGCCCTGAACTAAGGTGAAATTTTCAGAGAAATACTCACAATGATTGCAAGATCTTTCTTCTGGGTAGCAATAGCTCATTGACAGACCATGTGAATGTGCAATTGAGGTAGGTTTTGCATTGATTTGTATTTATCAATATTGAATTTATTCAGCCATTGCATTATTTATTGATATTCTCACCAAATATTTTTACAGGTCTTGGTAGACTTAGCTTTGACTACTGTGATCAATTCAGTATTATCAGCAAAAAGAGTCTCCTAAGTCGTCACATTATTTCATGATCATTTACAAACATCTATGGAATTCTACATTTCCTATTACTCTACTAATTTTATAATAATAATTGCTTAATTTCTTTATTGCACTTAGAGAAGAGACATTGTTAAAATGATTTTATGATTAGCTCATCCTTAATTGTATGTTTGTTAGTATCTTCAAATAGCTCCAACAGCTTTTACTGTAAAAGCTATGTTGATTCATTCCATATATGACATATTTATCTATTTTCTGATGTTTTCCCATTAATCTGCTCAGTGTACAAGGCACATTTTTCTCCTTGTAATTCTCAAAATTTCCCTTGGGGTTTCATTAAATATTGATGCCACATTTACCAGTTTCAAGTCCGTGGGATCTGAACTAATTTTAAGCAGTGGTGTACAGTGTGGTTATTTCAAACCATCCTGGAGCTGAGTCATGCAGAAATTACTCATGTTGTGGTAGCCACACCTCACAATGTTTGTGGTGCTGCATTGCTTCATTTTGGAGAAAAAGCAGCACAGACTCAGCACCTCATCCACCTGCAGAGGAGCAGCACCTTTCATTTGTATCTGTTGCTTCCTATTCCAGGACTTTTGGATTGGCCTTGCTGCTTACAATGTCATGGCAGGAAGTAGTAAGAACAAGCACCTGCTGCCAGGGACCTTAGTGGACTATAGATTGCCCTTTCAGCTGGAAGATTTTAGTGGTCCCTGTGCCAAAATGTACTGTGAAAACTGTTCTAGATCCTTTATCAGTACAAGCGTAATAAATCTGGCATGGATAAGCTGTTTTCCTATAGGAGAAGCTCAAAGGGTTGGGTTTGTGTGCAACTGCCTACTTTTCAATTCAACAGGTACCAGAAGAAACTTGGTCCATAGAAAGCCTCTCAACCAAATAGAAAAGGGTCCTTCTTCTCTTTCAGATGAACAATTTGGCTAATGAATGCTCCCAAGAATGGGCTCACCTCAGGGGAGAAAACAGAGATCTCAGTGAAGGTAAAATAGCATGGCTCTCTCCTTTCATACTTCTGCCAAGGCTCATGCAGGAGAAATTACGGCACAAACCCAGACAGCCGTTCGTCGTAGGAAGGAGATGATGGGAAAACTTCCAAGTATTACAACAGTTCTTTACTCTTTACTGCATTTAGATTTGATCAATTTGAGGGGTAGGAAATAAGGTTCTGAGAGAGAAATAATTTAACTAAAAGAAAAACCCTGCATGCTGAAGGTAATAATATTTTATAAAAGAAACGTTGAATCTGGCCTTCAAAAAGAAAGATGCTTTCAATTTCCAGTAATGCTAAAGCCATTTTGCACCATCTGGACTTATGTTCAGCTTTTCAAGCAGGAAATTTTTTCATTCCTGTGTAACCTTCATATCTTAGTTGCAGTGATCTCTAAAATTCAGTTACAGCAAGGATATTTTATAAAATAGACTAAATATCAAGCATCAAGTACCAGATTGATTTTCTCTTCAGAGGTTCCATTTCTTTAATGTGCAAGTTATTTTGTCCTTCAAGGAGTTTGTTACAGCACTTTCCCTTCTGCTGTTGATGGAAACAGAGCCCTGTTCAACCCATGGCTTAAGCCCAAACCTGCTAAGTGTACTGGCAATGCTACCTGTGATTTTAGCACTAGGGAAAGCAGACTTGAAAGACTCAAGGACCCATCTGCCTTGTAAGGGATATGGTAAGAGTAACAGATTCAAGAATCCAATTTGTCTTCATTTTCAAATGTAGAACTCAGCACTGGGGAAGATCTTTAGGATATACCAATGTAGTTTTATTGACTCGAGTTTATTCTACATCAGGACAAACCTACCTGAAAATTTGCTTTTAGGATCATGTTTTCTACAATGACAAACAGATGTGTCCAGACAAAAAAATTTATCGTATATTTAGACACAGTCCACAGCACAAAACTCATTTGCAAGAGTACAAACGCTTGAACTTGAGTTCACAGAATCTGTCATCTTAATATTTAAAGTAAATTCAGAGATTCAGAGCAAATGCAACAGTCTCATACCTGCAGTTATCTCAACTGCCAGCAGTAAGTAATCTTGGCGAATCCACTTAGAGATATCAGTAGGTGTTTAGATACACAACTGAAAAAGCACCTTAACCTTGTGCTTGGGTTAGAACAAAGTTTTCCTTATGATTACTTGGATTTCCTGCTTCCGTTTGGGCTGAAACTACTTTGGGAACAATTTAGCTCAACTATGCAGCAGTTTCAGTTGTAGCAGCACCAATGAAATAGAGAACAAAACATGAAAAAGAGAAAAATTAGCAAGTCCTAAAAATCCTATAATTTTTTTTGCATTAGTTGTTATTTTGAAATTAAAATCTGAAGCAGAAACCTTCCTTTAAGGAGAAGCCGCTCAAGCCTTTTTTTTCTTGCAAAAGAAAGCATTTTCCTTCCCTCAGAAAAATGCTGAAAATACCAAGAAACAAACATGCAATCTCTGTAAGTTTTTCCATCTGGGCAGCTTTGTTCAGCTAAAATATTCTTAATCTCTTAAGCATGCTCTGATGCCACTTCTTTGCAGGCTCCATGAGTCCTCTTCTGACCTTGTAAATTGAGTTTATACATATCCTCATCCACAGCTGCCCTGCCATTTGCAATGCCAGAGGCAATCCAATTGTTTGGTACTTTCATTAGTCCCCTATTGATCGGTTCCTCTTCCTCCCTGCTGTGCACAGAAAGGCACATTTCCTGTTGCTATTTGCTGTTTAACAAACTCCCTTAGTGGTTTTTGGCATTTTGATGGTTTTTGATACTAACCTTACCTGATTGTTCTTAAAGCAGCATTTCAATTCAATATTTTATTCAAAGTAAACTTTGAAGCAATTTTACCTGGCCCTGGAAGTTCTACTCTGAATGCTTGATCAATCACTTCTCTTCTCTCCCAGCATCTGTAAAACTGAGTACTAGGCTGAGAAGTGGGAGGCTTTCCTCACCTAGCCAAAGGCATTCCTGACAAATACTGCAGCATGCCCTCCAAGGCTGCTCTCCAGAATATGCTGGGAAGCACAACATCCTCACACATTGCAGGTGCCAATAGCTGGGACCTCTGAGGTCTCACAGAAGAGTCTGTGTATACAGTCTTCTTCTTCATCTGCCAGGTGACCTCACTGGAGTCAGCTGAGAGAGCAGCCACAGGAAAACGCTGACCTGCCTTGTTCCAGTCAGGGCTGTTACACAAGATCACTATGATATATTAATTTTAAACAAGCTTTCTTTCATGCTGTAAAGCCACAGCACATCCCATTTGTCCAGCTGGTACCTTCTGTCCAAGGACATTTGCTAACCCACAGGAAGAGGAATCCTCTGGTTCACACCCTTTGGAGGCAGCTGGGATGGCCATGGGGGGATACCTCTACCTTGTGTTTTGCTCCCATTCTGTGGTCATCAAAGAGTAGGAGTTTCTGTTTTCAGTTTTCAAATTAAACTCATTCATGTCAATATTTTTAATTACAATGATTTTGTTTTATTGGGGTTTTGAACTTTTGAAACGGCTTGGAGATCTGTATGTGTAGGAGAACATGTTTAAATGCTCACTAGCACAGAGGAAAAGATAAAAAACATCTTTCACTTTTTTTTGTACAGTAAATCCTAACAAATTCATGTCATGTCTTTTAAATGCATGATTTTAAAATTGCTCATGCTTTCAAGGGTCTTTAGGTGAGTTACTAGAGCAATGACCAGCTGTGAGGTGTCACAACACATAATTTAAGAAGGGCACTAAACCTTAGGGGCAGAGGCCAGCTGAATTTGCTAGTCAAGAAAAACTACACTAAATTTCCAGGTCTGTGTGTTTTCATGTTCCCCAGCCTACACAGAACAGGACTAAAGTCATTGGAAGTGGCAGCATGCCACTCCATCAGTGCTGAATCCTTCTGCCAGAATGACTCAGCCATGTGATGTGTAAGTAAAAATAGGAATAAGCATGGGCATTGATTTATAGTATGAAAGATCAGATACTGAAAGTTAAATTGTTACAAACTTTCTCCTAATCTGAAGAGTAATAGGACAGACCTGAAAAAGCACTGATAGTGAAGTTCTCCACTGCAAAGGCTTTTCTTGATACTACTGGAAAATGTCAGCTGAATTTCTGAATCAGTCTCCAGCAAGGAAATCCTCCTGCCAAAGTCTTATGGTCCAGCATGGAAATCCCAAGTGTCATGTAATGTATCCCTGAGGGTAAACATCAATATGGAACCTGTCAATCATTTTTTTGTTTGTGGCTGTTGCCCACCACTCCCCAGAACTTCATATTTGTCCATGAAGTTTGTTTCCATGGACTTCTTTTTCCTCAGCCCTACCAACTGTTGTGGTTCAGGCAGAGCTGTGCTTTGTCCACCTGTGAGCACATTCAGGGGTCTCAGGCTCCCTCCTGTCACAGAAAAAAACCCTCTTCCTGCTGCCACCAGTGGCAAAGGCTGGGACAAATTGTGTGGCACACAGCTACAGCATGCTGCTGCATCTCAGACAGTATTGAGTCCTGAGCACTTGGTAGGGAAAAGGAAGAGGAGTTAGAAGAGCAAGGTTAGAAACAGTGAAAGCCTCAGGTCAGGGACCCCAGCACCTGCCCCTTTTGGTTCAGCAGTGACACAAGAGAGCACCCTGGGGTGCTATCCTTATCCTGAACCCAGCACTGATGGACATCTCCTTTCCCTGCCTGCACACTGTGGTTTTGACCATCATGTTGGGAGGGCAGTAGGCTTCCTGGAGGCAGGGGAGCCTTCCCCCTGGCTGGGACACCCCATTTAGATCCAGACTTGGCCAGAAACGGCTTAATATGGTGCAAAGCTCTTGCTTGTGGGGACAAAGTCACTGAGCTGGTCTTGGGGCAAGTTCTTCATCTTCCTTCAGGGAAGTCAAGTGTCTCATGAGCCACAGCAATTCCTGAGCTAGCTGAGGGCCCTCCAGCCCTGCCCCATGTTGCAGATTCACCACCTCCCTGCAGAGCCCCTTTGTGCTATTTAAAATGACATTCCAGTAGTGTCCAAAAACCCAAGTACTTGGTGGTCTCTGGGCCTTGCTCCTAGGCTTACTTAAAGGCATCCAGATGATGGCAGCAAAAAGGACAGGGTACAGCCACACAATCCTCTGCACTTCCAATCTTTAAAATAAATACAATTCTCTCCACTCTAGCTTGCACAAATGAGGAAGATTTAATTACATCCTGAGAAAAAAACCAGTGTAATCCTTGCTGCTTTGAGAGTTCAGGTTTCTGCAGAACAAACCCTTTCCTTCAGCTCTCCTGCCCAGAACTGGGCTGCTCAGGGCCCCTGGGCTTTCTTTTGTCCTCACTTCACTCTACAAAACAAGCGCCCAAATCCCCTGTGGATGAGGGCTGGCCAAAGCCACATGGCTCCTGGCTTGCCATGACAGGGGTTTCATGTCTCATGGTTGGTTTGGGAAGGAGCAAGCTGAGCAGAAAAAATCACCACAGCTCATTCGGCATGGGATGAACCCCTGGACTCTGGGGTAAGGTGCCATGGACACCCAGGAGCTACAGATTGTGCAAGCTGTGCTTTCCCACTTCCATCCAGTGCACATGGCTGCCTGTCGGAAGTGGGGTGACAAAACCAGAACTAAAGAAGCAAAGAACCCAAATCACCACATGAAGAGCCAGAGCTAAAAGGCAACTTGGAAATGAAGTGTTTTCACATGGGCTGAAACATCAGGGACAACATAATGCTGCAGTTGCTGCATGCAAGCACTGGCTTTGCAGGAGTGCTGAACTGAGACAGACCAGCTTGCACACAGGTAATGGATGCATAAAAAGGACACTTACAGAAGCCATTCCCAACAAATTGCAGCAGATATAAAACCCACTGCAAAAGATCAAAGCCAGGAAGTATTATGTGCTGGAGTGAAGAGCAGAGGCATTGCCCAGGTTTCAGATTCACTGTATTAAATCAAACCCCTGGACACTTACCAAAATGGATCATAATCAAGTGAAAACAAACCCAGAATATTCAGTGCATTCAGTCCTGCCTCACTGACACGCTGGAAGGATCACCCAGACAAAACCAGTCCAGTTTTGCATGGACAGCTGGGGTATGTGAATCTGGCATGTGGGTGACAGGAGTATCACAATGTCCATGCCCTGCCTTTGGCTGCACAGCCCCTGAAAAAGAGGAAATTGTTTACCTGAAGCAGGAGGCAGATCACCAAAATAGCACCTGTCAGACATCTCAAAGCTTTCACATTTAAGCCCTCACCTGCACTGAAGTACCTATGCTGAAAGGCAGCAGATCAGGTTTCAGGGAGCAGTGATTTTCCTCTCTCCAGAGAGCAGAGGGGTCTTGCCTCTGCCCAGCAGTGTGCTGTGACAGGGCTGCTGTCACTGGCTCTGTCTCCCTGCCCCATGCAGTCGCACTCATTTTGCATAGCCAGCATGCACTGTGGGTTCCTGCCCTGTTTTCCTATAAATACATTCAGCTTTCTCTGGAAAACAAGAGATTTCTTCATTTCTGTAAGCAGCTTGGCCACTAAGTGCTCTTGGTGGTAAGAATATGATCCTAATTGCTGATTGGATTTATCTGGATTTGCATTCCAGGAAGGTTTTTTCCCTTTTTTTCCCCTCTAATAACTTAAGGAAGCTCTTTATATCTTTTATTTTCCACTTGGAAAGATACATTCATGCTGCAATCACACCACTATTAGTACCTCAATTATCACCTGGTAACTGAAATGAACTGAACAAATCCTATCAGAAGTGATTCTCCATTTTTATTTTTAATTATTACTTTTCCTAGGATTTGTGGCAGGCTGCTCTATATATATTGCATTGCATTATTCACAATGATATTATTTTTAAAACTATTGGCACTGTATTCTCACCATTCCACAGCATCTGAAATTCTTGTTCTCTTAATATAGAAACACCTTCTCAACAAACACTTTTGGAATGTGGATTATATCTACTAATTTTAATTTATTCCCTGAATTTTCTTAACTTTCTTCAGAGTTACTAGTGACATCCTAATAAGATACAGGCAGCTTGAAATATTTCCAAATACAGAACAAAACATGGAATAAACACACAGGATTTTTAAATTATTCACAGAAATGAAATGGTTGATTAGTTGTCAATGGGACTCTCAGGTATCTGCACCCGCTTTTTTTAGTAAGTCCCTCTAGTTTTTGGTATGAGGTGGAAACAGCAACAACAGCCAGAAATTTTAAGATCACTCTTCTTATTACGTGCCATCATTGGCATTTATGTCACTTTGAGCCAGTGCATGGTAGACCAAGCAGAAGTGATGCTACTGCTATTTATCATCCATTTTCTTTTAAAGCAAAAGATAGTTTAAATACAGTAAGATTATTTATAGCTAATGGATACCACCCACCAGAGCACTCAGGGAGGTGTGTGCTTGCAGACACAGACCACTCTGAGGACTTCAGCCTAGCTGAACATGGGGCAGGTCCAGCACAGCAGGCAAAAAAAATTCATTTTATGGTTCATTTATTCAGCCACAGAGATGGTTTGTGTCCTACCAGCCTAGAACATGCACATAAAATAAGATGTGTATTCATCTATTAACACAAACCGTCAGTATACTGTCTCAGTTTTGTTTCAGTCTCTGCTCTGGACTGATGTTGAGGGGGTTATTGCTTAAATGCAGAGATCTAAACCAGAATGTGTTATTTCAGCATTCATTAATTCAGCCTATTTATTTGATAATAAGAAATTGGACCCAATGTGAGAGCTGATAAAATGAAGAGATCCTATTGGCAGCAAAAGTCGATCAGGCTTTTTACAATTCAATTGATACATTTTGAGGACATATTTCCTCACAACTTCAAAGGAGAAACAGACCTTTGAACATGCACATCTCTGTTACACCAAACCATTGCTTCAGGCATTGGAAGAAAAACATTGCAAGCACAACTAAGTTGCTGGGACACTGGGTAAATGTATTCCTACCATTTGTTTCCCTGGTCTATTTTACATATTAGAAAATCTATACAAGGCTTGCCCAATGACCACACAGTTGTACAGCTGAGTAGCACATGCAACTGTCTTAAAGGGTGCATATTCAGGAAGGGAAGTTTTTTCAGTTGTTATGAGTAAAACACAATCTAAAGACACAGCAGTAATATTTTTGTAAATATTCTCTAATACACTTATATCCTGAATGCAGAAGGAAAATGCATTTTTCCAGGAGTGCTCCCAACGCTTTTTGTGAGCAGCTGACACCAAGGACAGAGAAAATTCTTGGAACTGCCTCAGAGAAATCCTGCTATTGGAAATCTCCAACCATATTGTCCATTCTTCCAGGTAAATAGTTTTTGTGCCTCTGAAAAATGTGTAAGGTTCTAGAGACATGGAGAAGAGACATGCCAGAATCCCCGTATCCAGCAGGGAGAGCAGAGATGCCTGCTGTCCTGGTAAGGGAAGAGGGGGTGCCATGAACAGGAACAAAAGGCCAGATCCAGCATCCCTGTCAGAAACTGGGAGTGTGGGAAAAAGAGATGCAGAAACCTCTGATGGTTCATTAGTCTACTCCCACAGCATGATTAGATCAGTTGGGTCAGTTTTCTAAAGGCTCCATATGATTGAATTAGTCAAGGATAGGTCAGATTATTTCTGCCTTACTGCCATCATTACCGTGCCATAAACATATCAATTAAAAGAGTTTGCTCTGACAGGATTTCTGCTGTTACTAATTCAGTGGCTCCTATTGTAGCAAAAACCATCTTGGTGGTAGCCCTGAGGAGGTTGTGGCAGCTGAGTCTGTTGGGATATGCTCCTTGGCTCCCAAGCTGAGGTATCTCTTTTTCCTGGGAAGATTACACATGACTGGCTGTGATGTAAAGCAAGCAATGATATGGGGGCAAGACCCCAGGTTTGGGTGGCAAAGCTTTTATCTGCTCAAGTAAGAAAACTCATTTCTGCTTACTGTTGAAAATTTTGGGGCATTACCCACCACGGGCTTGTTACCCCCAGTTAAGTCAGTCCCAATGCATGCCACCCTCCCAGCTAGGAAACAACTCTTTTCCCTGGACTCTGGGAATGTCTTGCAAAGATGCAGTCATACCACAACCACAGTATGCACTGGGCTTCTGAGACTTAAACACAAAGACCATTTGGTCTTCTCATCCAATACTTTGCAGAACAAAAAACTAAACCTTCAGACTGAAAAAGTCTCATCCATACTTCCTCAAAGCAGTAACAAGAACAATGGTGTGGGAGAGCATTGCAGTTGAGACAGCCATGATACAAAGAGCATCAGCATACAATTTCAGAAAGCTTCAACCCATACAGAGTAGCACCATACTCATCAGAAGGCTTCACATGCCTGCCCATACAGAGTAACATCACTGCAGAAGGCTGCAAGCATCTGTTCTTTCTTGTCCTTTAGCCCAACCTTTTATACCCCTCAAGTTCATGCATTGCACCTGTGTGCCCTCTGCTCCCTTTGGTGGTTGGTCAGCACACCTGGACCCTCCAGGTCTGATTGCTGTCACTGCTGCTCACCTGCTGTTCACAGCTGCAGCCCATTGGGGATGAGGCTCAGCCACAGCCTCACTCCCAGTTAGCACAAACTGCCTACAGGATAGCAGTACTAGCATAAAAATAATGTATCCAGAAATCCTTATCTGAATAATCGTGGGTGAGCTAACAGCTCACTGATCACAGAATCCTAGAATTGCTAAGTTTGGAAAGGACCTCTAAAATTATCGAATCCAAGCATTAACCCAGCACTGCCAAGTCCACCACTAAATCATGTTCCCAAGTGCCACGTCTAAATGTCTTTTAAATATCTTTTAAATATCTCTGGGGATGGTGACTCAACCACTTCTCTGGGCATTCTTTCCAATGCCTGACCTCCCTTTCAGTGAAAAAATTTTGCCTAATGTCCAATCTAAACCTTCCCTGCACAACCTGAGGCCATTTCCTCTTGTTCTGTCACTTGTTACTAATTAGGGTTTCCAAAAACTGGAGGACATTTCCAAATACTACTTTCTGAAGACTTGTAGTTAAAATGCAGATCTGTGCTCTGACCTGGGGATTATGAGATCTTAAAGCTTTCCCATCAGTCACCCATATTCATATATCAAGAATATTTTGTTATGTATATTAGATATGATTTTGCAAAACCAAATCACGTGTGGGACTCCCAAGTTCTGAATATGCCATTTATTTGCATGAAATACATACCTCTTCCAAAGCACACTAGTTTTCTCACAGGCCCTGCAGAATGGGTGGATCTTTCCTTCTAATGCCTGAAAACTGTTAAATTCACAAAGCAGTATTCAGATGGCATAATTATCAGAATTACAGGCCGATCCTCTAAGCAAAAATTGTGGAAAGAGCCCTTTTATGAGAGGCTGGCTGCTGTAGCCAGGGGTGGTGTGGCCTTGCTATCACAGACTGACTCCAGCTGATGCCTTACCAGTTCATTAATGCTGCACAGCTCTGTCCATCTGGGTTGAAATCGTCACTACCTGTACATCTTGGCTACAAGGGTGGTCACATTTATCATTCAGACTGCTCCCATCCATCATACTGTCCTTCTTTCCAAAGCTTCCTCTGTGTTTGCTCATTCTCCCTGTGCTCAGAACCAGCCTGCTTTTATACCAGATATTTCTGCCACTTTGATTCATGCATTCTGCCAAGGTGTTGCTGGAACATGAACCTGAGGTTGAGTTTCCCAGAACAGACCTGTCTGGTTGTGTTACCCCTGCACTCTGCAGGCCTGGGGCTCTCAGCTGCACCAGCCCCTCCTGTCACTGCATCACTTCATCCTCCCATGCAGCCCACAGTGGCAAGGGGGAAGCCTGAGCCACAGCATTGCTTTTTCTCTAGCTCTGGCTGTGGTGGGACCAGCAGCAGCTGCCCAGCACTTGCAGTGCCATTACTGCTGGGTTGTGCAACCCTTGCTGCCTTTAACAGCAGAAATGCCCAAGAGAGAAGAGCATGTACTGAGCAGGAATTTGGAACATCCAGGTATGCTGGAAGAGGACACTGACAGCAGGAGTAGCAGGGAAGGAATCACAACTGTGACTGAGACAGAAAAAGTATCTTCTTGCTTATGGGACAAAGGTCATGTCTTCACAAGCTACAGGTTTCCAGGGCACCATAGGAAAATGATCATACAAAAAACCACAACCAAACAAAAAAAACCCTCAAAACCCCAAACCAAAATCAAACAGAAAGTCCCCAAAAAAAACCTCAACTGCCCCCAAAACCCTAATTCATATACATAAAGGTCTATTCGCTTTCAGAAAAAGGGCAAGAATATCTTTAATCAGGCATCTCCAGATTTTTTAACTGGTTTATTTCTACTGGAGTCTGAATCAGGATTGCTCATATTCACCAGATTACTCTTGCCTTTATCATGACCCAAAAAGAAAAATATATGGCTCAGGCCAACTTGAAAATCTTAACCAAAAGCTCTTTTAAAACCCTTCACTTTAAATTTGAGTTTTCAGTACAGAGAATTAACAATTGTCAGGTCACATCTACAGCTTTCAGAGGCCTTTTTGCTCAAGGGTGTCTGCTACAGTTGTACGTTTTCCCACATTTTCAGTAATTTTGCTCACCATCAAGGTGGCTGGAGACAGCTGTGAATGAGGAGGACAAGGAAGTAGAAGGAGAGCAGGGTCTCACAGGGAGCTGCCATAGCTGGAAAGCTCCATCTCCTCCACAGGGACAGGAGACACAACTGTAAATTCTGACAAGAAGAAAGCCCTGTTCAGGCCCTGGAGAGGCAGCCTGTGTGGTGTGCCCTCTCCCTGAAGGGAAGGCACAGCAGCCCATGTGGTAAGGATGCTGTGTGCCCCAGAAGATCCACCTGCCACAGCCCTTGGGGACCAGGCTGGTGGTGCAGTGTGCTACACGGCTAATTAGGGACTGTTGAAGAATGCAAACCTACAGAGTCTAATTGCTGCTCATTTATTGCATCAACCATTTAAAAATCAAAGAGTCAAAGCAGAAAAAATATTTTTTCAGAGAGTGAAAAGTACTGAATTAAGCAGTTTGAGTCTCTCACCACCACCCTCTAATAACAGTGTTGTTGTCCTCTTATTGTAAAAGTTCCATACCTTCTTGGTAATTTCTCATGAGCAGCTCCTCACAGCACTAACCCCTTCTTCTTCACAGCCCATCCAACAAACTACAGCCCTCTCCTTAGCCAGCTAACCCACTCTTTTATAGCACTCATCCTTATTGGACACAGCTGTTGCCTGTTAAGGGCAGGCCTGTTACTAATCTTTGGTGATTAATACAGCTGCAACTCCTCTCAGGTGAGATTGCCTTCTGCACTACCTTTATTTTCTTACATTTCATCCCCCCACACAGTGTTGCTTCTGCATCTACTTTTTAGGTTTTTCTGGAAGTGTTTTCTAGACACAGGAAGACAATTAGACAAGTACCTGTGAAAAATGTTGGTTGATTTTGGATTTTTTTGGCCTGTATCAGATGATGAGCACTCCCAACAAGCTATGGGAAAAAAATATGGAATTGTAGAATCCTTTAGGTTGGAAAAGACCTTTAAGATTATCAAGTCCAACACTAAACCATGTCCCCAAGTGCCACAACTACACACCTTTTAAATACCTCCAAGACTGGTGACTCAGCCCTTCCCTGGACAGCCTGTCCCAGTGCTTGACAACCCTTTCAGTGGTGAAATTTTTGTAATGAACAATCCACACCCCCCAGCACAGTTTGAGGTTATTTCTTCTCATACTATCACCTGTTTTTTGGGAAAAAAGGCAGACTCCTACCTGGGTACAACATCCTTTCAGGTAGTTGTAGAAAGTGATAGTCTCCCCTCAGCCTCCTTATCTCCGGTCCAAACAACCCCAACTCCCTCAGATGCTCTTCTTCAGACCTGTGCTCCAGACCCTTCTTCAGAAACCAGGGAGAACTTCACCTTTTCCCTGCTGCTAACTGGGAGTGTGACATGGAAAAACGTGCTAATGGGCTTTCTGTTCTTTCACATATGGCACTGGAAATATTAAAGAGCATCCCCTTAATCCAGACCCCTCACTGCTGAAGTAGGATCAGATGGTGGGAGCCATTCAGGGGTTTTTTTTATGTCTTGCTTGCTTTCCTTTGGAAACGTAAAATTTCATTCTCATTTGAAGATGCATCTCATTGCTTTCACCGGTGACACCAGACCTTTCTTTCCCTCTTACCGTGTCACTGCAATGCACAGCAAGCAGCTGAGAAAAAATATCGGAATGGCTCCTTGTTCATGGGCAGGCCCTGCTGTGCTGGAGTGGCAGTGCTATAAAAGGGCTAATTGCAGATAGGAGCCCTGCTGAGTTACATATGCTGAACATGGGGCTAATTTCTCCTGCCTTTCCCTCAGACTCCCTTGCTGCAGTGCCTGCCTAGCCTATTCCAGCAGCACTAACAGAGATTTTTGTGAAGGGACAGATGGGGTGGGGGCAAGGGTCTCACTGTGCCCAAACCGTGTAGTGAAGGTTTCCCTTCAGTGAAGTACTTTCCCTTTGTTTGCTCAGGTCAGGCTGCTTGGCTGGACAACCTGCCTTTTGGATAAATACCACATTCTAAATACAAGATCCCCAAATCTGCAGATCAAGGGTATCCTGAATTCTCAATAGACCTTCCCACACAGAAAGTAATTTGAATTTCAATCAGGGTGTAAAATGTAGTGTATACTCAACAAAGAAACTGAAGGCAGGCTGAGAAAACATAAATGAGCTTCATTTTAGTTGCTTTCAAGTTCCTTCTGTATAATCTTTCCAGTTCTTATTTACTGTAATCAACATCCATCTCATGGCAATTTGTAGGCAATTGTGCACTACAGTTTGTTCAACATTCAGAGAAAAACTGCATGTCTCTGAAACCTGAGGTAAACTCCACAAATGCTTAGAATTCTGGATAGAAGATGAAAAGCCTCATAACAGGACACATTGTTCTGCTCCAGAAAAAGGTGTTGGGAAGAACAAAGGAGTACCAGTGGCTCCAAGCAGTTTTTTCACATGAAGATTATTCCAAAGACAAAAAATTTCAAAACAATTCAGTTCTTCAACCATTGTGGGCTGTTGCAGGCTAAGTCACCTGGATTCAGCACTTCCCACTGGAGAGGTTTTCTACTGAGCCTCTTCCTCTTGCTCTTCTCAGGGCCTCGGGGTTGGTGATGGAGAAACATATTCTGCTCTGAGAATTCTTGTGAAGCAACACAAGAATTTTTGACCAATTTGCCTAGCTGTAAGTGCAGTGCAAAGTGCATCTCTCGGCATCACTGTTTCTGTCCACACTGCTTTCACTTCTGGTGCAGCCTCCTTCATGCAAAGCCAGGTTTTATTGTAGGAAGAATAGCAGAGGTGGAAAATTCCTGATGT